TGTCAGTTGCAGAAATAGTCACGTATATATATATATATATATATACCCTTAAAAGACTCCATTGATCCAATTAAATTCTTGCTTATCTAACACGTCCAACTGCAAATTTTTGTATAAATAAACTAAAGCAATTGTTTCAGATTCAAACCGAAACGTTAACAGTAATAGATAAAGAGTAGGTTGGAGTGATGACGTTAAAAACGAGGGAGTAATAATTAACATAAATAATAATCTTATGCTGGAGCAGATGGCCAAAGTATCGTTCTGTTAAAGCCATAGAAGTGTATATATATATATATATATATATATATAGCCTGCTACAAAATATTGTTCAAAAACTAAAAGCTTCAACAAGTATATGCTTTAAAAAAATAATTCTTTAAAAGCAATTACCTCACTAAAACTGGATGAGGAATAACAATACACCACTACAATAATCTGGTCCTGGACTTAATCAAGGTATAAATTATAAATATAATAATAACTAGGGATACATTTTTTATGGGGTTTTTGAAAGCTATTTAATTCCCTACAAATGCATTTCAAATAGTCTTCTTGTGATCTTTTTCAGTTAGTACAGTATATACAGTATAATTTTCCATAACATGTTAGATTAAAACAAAACTCATTATAAAAATGAAAAATATTTGTATTATGTACAGCCAATTTGATATTTCTATATAAATAACAATAATATAAATATCTAATAACAATTTAGCTAAAAATAAAAACTATTTTCTGGAAATTAATTTTGGAAGCTGATCTTAATATTAAATTCAATTTTTGGTTTAAATAAATTATTTTTTTTACATCATTCAAGCATAAACAATTGTTATTTTCACTATGAACTGATCTACAAAATCATACTTTACATATATAATAATAAAAGAATTAAAACCTACCTTCATAATTTCTTAATTCCAATAACTCAGTAGAAATATATTGTTGATATAAAGGGTATTGAACATTAAGCTGTTCTATTTCCTTATTATCTATCTGTGAAATTAGTGCCTGTACGCATGAAATATCACCACATCTGCAAGCAATATGGAGGGCTGTATTACCATGACGATCTCTAAGATCAACTGTTGCACCAGCTACAACTAGAGTTCGAGCTATTTTGGGTTGACCAGTTAATACAGCAAGATGTAATGGTGTCTAAGAGAATAAAAAAGAAAGAATCTTTATAGATAAACAATTTTTTAAATTCATTAATATGATTTAGCTATCAAAAATTTTGGTTTTAAAAATTATTATTGACAAAAGCAATTACCTGATGCAGATCATTAATTATATCAAGGAAATCTGGATGTGGAACAGCTTGTACAAAACTTTTTACTAAATCCAATGAGCCTTTAATTACTGCTATATGTAATAATCTGAAATAATAATTATTAATTAAATTTAATATATTTAACATACTTTAATAAAATAAAAATTATTAATTAGGCATTCTACTTTTGGTTTTTAAGTGATGAAGAAAACAAAATTTATATTATTAAAATAGATTAAGATAATTGCAATAAAGTAATCTTACTTATTTTGAATCCTATTATTTCTAATCTAAAATGGTTAATATTTCAAAATTATACAGCTGATCTGTTATAACTTTTGTTTCACACACGCACGAATAAATAAATACATACATACACATGTATTTTAATTACATGCATTCTTTCTCCATGTGGCTCACATGGAGAAAGAGTAAATAAATTAGAATACTTTAAATTTTTCACAAAATAATAATCTAGTAGAAATGTATAGATGATTTATTTATTATATGAGAGATGCTATATGGGGCAGAACAGAGTGACATTTTCCACATTAATGCTCTTCCTCTCCTCACTCTGCCAATTGCCACTGGCACGCCATTCAAGTTTAAAAGCAAACAGTGCAAAAAANCCTTAATTTTATTTTTCAGGAAAAAAATTTACCGGTAATATACCGGTAAACCGGTATTTTAATTTTCATATACCGAATTACCGGTAAATGAAAAAGTCAGTAAATTTACAATCCCTAGTCTGTAGATCTTTGAACTTGCCTCCATCGATTGTTACTACCATTATGAAAAATGCAGATAAAATTAAACACTCTGCTCAACAGTCTACTGCAGTAAATGTAAAACATGCGCATTACAGTAGACAGAACAATTTTTTCAAAAATTTTAACATTATGGGTGGAAAATGCAAATAAAAAAAGCATTCAACTGCTATAACTGAAAAAGCAAAATCAAATTTTCAATAATCTTAAGGAGACAGATGGAGGCAAAGAAACTTTTTTGGGAAGCAAGGGTTGGTTTATGAGATTTAAATTCCAAAGTAACTGTTGTAGTGTAAAATTATGTGGTGAAGCAGCAAATGTGGTGGCTGCTTTTCCTAAGTAATTTCAAGGTTATGTAGAACAAGGCAACCACCTCTCTAATGTTAATGAGACTGGGCTTTATTGGAAAAAGTTACCAGCATGAACTTTTATTTCTTGTGAAGAACATGCTGTTCCAGGTTTTACAGTTTCAAAAAGATAGATTAACTCTTTGTTGGAGCCAATGTTTCAGGAACTTTGATACACTAACATCGGTTTAAGTTTCATTCAGACACCACGTGCTTTAAGGGACTAAATAAAGACATGTTGCCAGTTTACTGGAAATGGAACAAGAAAGCTTGGGTCACACAAGATGTTTTCACAGATTGGTACACAAGTTATTTTTGCCCTACTGTGCTTCATTTCGTGAAGAAAATAAATTACCACCCAAGGCATTTCTCTTGGACAATGCTCCAGAACATCCTCAAAACCCTGATCAAATAAGAACACCATTAGATGTATTGGAAAGCATGTAAACAACCTTGACAACATCTCTTTTGCAACCAATGGATCAGGGATTATTGCAACCTCCAAAGCTTATCTCTGTAATACATTCATGAAAATGATGAGCGTTTTAGACACTTCAGACAAAATAGTTAAAGACTATTGGCAGTCTTTCGATATTTTGAAAGGCATTAAAACATCAAGTCGGCTTGGGATAAAGTTTCAGCAAAATGCTTAAATGGAGTTTGGCATAAACTTCTGCCAGAATTCATGCATGATTTTGAAGTAGCACATCAGGAGAATTTAATTGAAGACTTACCAGATTTGCACGTGATGTGGGATTGGAAGATGCTACAGAACTTTTAGAAAAGCCCGTGATCAGACACTCTCGAATGAAGACTTAGAAGAATTATACAAAGAAATAGATCATGAATAGTCAGAGAAGGAAGAAAATGAAGGAGAAACTCCAAGAGTTATGAAAACGGCCGATCTAAAGCGTATCCTTTCAACTATGGAAAGTTTGACAGATGAACTTTGAGAATTAGACAACGATTGGGAGTGCAAATGTAAAAAGGAGCGTCATCGTATCCATTTGACCATATTCCAAAATTCTTAAAGAAAAAAAATCTAAACAATTAAACAGGGCTACTTTTTTCCAAAAAATGTAAGAGATCTGAAACTTTGAAATGTTTTTATTAAAAAAAATCTTAAAGTGAAATATCATTTGTTTTTCTTATTTTATCATAAAATGTAATATTGATATATGTATGTTGTATTAATAAACAAAATTATTTGTTTATTTTACACTTATGTAGAACCTAACTCTACACATCACTGTAAATATGGGTTCATTTTACGCCGGCTTTTGTAGGAACAGAACTGCAGCATAAACCAAGGGCTACCTGTACAACAAAAAAAAAAGTAAAGAATTTAAGGATACATCACTAAAACACTGTGTGGACAGCAATTGGCATGAAATTTAGAATGAATGGTAAGAAAGTTTGATAAACTGCACTGAGATCCTAAAGTGGAATCATTTAATTATATAATGTTTTAAATAGGAAACAAAGCATAGTAGAAATGGAAAGTGCAGAGATCTATATATATAAGCCATTGTCATGTCTGTAACAGTATTCATTGTCTAAAACGCCACTAGGGGCACACCCTAGTGATGATTTTAAATTAACAATACATTATTTTTATTTGTAATAGGAATTTATTATTGATATGAATTTATTATTTATACCACAGAATGGTATAAAAATTATTATATGCCTTGATTAACATTCCATGACTCAGTGAATGTCACGCATTGACTCGTGTTGAAAAAAAAATGGCAGATACATTTAAAATCAAGGTTTACAAGCAAAGGTAAATAAACAAATTAAACTATTTTAAAGTATTTACAGAATGTTTAATAGCTAGAAATCTAAATCTGTATGATGCAATTGGGACTTTAAGAGCTGTAGAGCATATTGATAGGAACAAAAAAGTCAAAGAAACCGTGCCTAATGGGAATTTGTAAAGAACGCCCACTAGGGGGCGTCCCGGGCTACTAGTATTAAAGAATTGATCAATGGCTGGCACATTCATTTCAGTCAAGTTAAAACTGAAACATTGTAAACATAACCAAAATGAAAACTTTGTTTGCAGGAAATGTGGTTTAAGAGTGTATTGCATTAAAAAAATATAAATTTTATAATTAATTTGATTAACATTTTTTAATGCAAGTTTAAAAATTAAGAAATTATCTTTTATTAGAATTTTATTTATAACATATTAAATGTATTGGCATTAAATAAATTTCATAATATAAAATTAATGCAAGTAACATACCTCATCAGTTTGTAGACTTTCATCAGAATCTGTCTCACTTTCTGATATATCATACTGTTCTCCACCATGAAACTTCAATATTGATAATATATTAGTGAGAGACGAAGTAGCATTTTTTGTATTCCAAGCAATTGAAAGTGCAGTCTGTCCAGCATAATTCCTCATGTTAATATTAGCTTGACAAGTCGATAAAAGGAAACGAACCAGATCTAATTTTTGTGTTTCTACTGCATAATGAAGAGCAGTTTTACCACTTTTACCTTCCTTTAAATCATTAAAAAGTATATTATTTAAAATTTCTCACATCAATGTAAAACATTTATATTAAATGGACTGTTCTTAAAAACTTACTTGTGCATTTATGTCAGCTCCACATTTTACTAAATATTCAATTATTTTCTTATTTCCATTCATAGTTGATATGTGAATACATGTCTGCCCTAGAGAAAAAACAGAAGAAAAATTTTTTTAATAAATATAAAATTAATATAAATGCTTTCTTGTAATATTTTTTATAAATAATAAATGTCAAAATATTAAAACATGAAATGTGTGCATTACTTTCTATTAAATTAATGTGTTTTATTTTCTAATACTATTACATAAAAAAATTATTTTGTTCATGTTATGTTAGTTATTTATAATGATTTCATATTGATTCTTTTATTTTTACAATAATTTCTTTACATTTATAAAATCAGGGAAAATATTTAATTATTATCCTAAGGAAAATTTTTAAGAATCTTGAATTAAAATACCAACAAAGCTTAAAAATCTAAATCAGCATCCTATTTGATTTTTCATTGTGCACACTGTGAACTTATTAAAAATTTTAAACAACTTCTCAAGTGTAATTCTCTGCATTTAAAATGTTATAGAAATAACATTTCCAATAAATTTTTCATAATCATTATCAAATAGAATATATGATAATATTAATTTATAAATTTACGTTAGCAAACAAACAGAAGTTATAATTAAAATAAAAGTGGTTATTAGTCTTTCAAAAACTTCAATAAAAAATTGAAATGTTTGGCATAGTAACTATCAAATCAGAACAACAATGCATTTTTAAATTTGTAATTCCATTAAGATAAAAGACAAATATTTAATTTACAATTACAATACTAAATAAATCACGAGGAATAATTTTTTCATTAGAATAAATAAGCACATATTTCAAAAACCATTAAAATTTAATAGTTAAAAATGCGACATTTAAAATATAGTTACAATAATTTGTCTTTCTTTTTTTAATACACTGTCTCAAATCAACAGATCGTGACTCTTGAAAATTATTTTCCAGAATTGTAATTAATCAATCAAAAATCTAATTTTCTAAAATAAAATTGCAACTTAAACTGAAAACATCAATTTAAAGTAATATGAATTTTAAAGCATATTTCAATATTATCAGATAATGTAAAATAGGCTTATCAATCATTTAAATAAAAAATTTATTTATCTACAAATATTTTTAATAACTTTAAAGTGAGTGTCCTTAAAAGATTAATAATAAAATTGTTACATATAAACTTTATTCACTATCATATAAAAATTACAGATAAAATTTAATATCAGGTTTAAATAGTATATATATATATATCCTGCTACAAAATATTGTTCAAAAACTAAAAGCTTCAACAAGTATATGCTTTAAAAAAATAATTCTTTAAAAGCAATTACCTCACTAAAACTGGATGAGGAATAACAATACACCACTACAATAATCTGGTCCTGG